TTCCGCATACGCCGTGTGTGCCGGACTTCGTTTGCGAATGAAATTAATAACTAAAACGTTGCAGCCCATAAAAAGGGCAGGCGAAATCGATCCACGGATCGCGAAAATTGAAATTCCAACTTTCAGAATTAATAAGTTAATTTCTGCAAACGCCCCTTGATGCCCAATCCATCTGCACGTTCGACTGCAACATGGCTGTGTTTTGCATAATTACAACCAGCTCTCCTCCGTTTACGACTTTGGCTAATTTGCCAGGTATCCCAGGGGGTGAGGCGGGGGCTTTTATGATGCGGCCTGCCATTAAAAAGGTTAAAGTTGAGGCTCAGTCGCTTAATGACTATCCTGGGGCCACTTGGGCACATGGGGCCTTGCCACTTGGGGCGCATGTTAATTGCTCGGACATTTATGGCAATGGGTTGACACATGTTGCGGGCATCTTCATGAAGGTTAATGGGGTGAAGAGTTTATAGGAAATCTAGGATGGCTTATATGGGATGGCTTATGCCTAAAAGTTACTTACATTTATTACATCCCTCATTTTGACAAATTTTACATTATTACCGGTGATAAGCACTTGCATGCAGCTTAATACTTTAATATCTTTGGTAATTCATTTCTTATTACTTTAAGATTCTTGTCAGAAAGAAGGTTCTAACATCTCTGAAGTCATTAACGAGGTCTCTGTCTCTTTCCTGACATTTATCCAGGAAGCTACTAATAAAATATCAAACAAATAATATGAAATGATATGATTTTCATCTCATTTGCATTTTAAATTAAATGTTATAGTAACGAATAAGAACTCTATATAGCACACTCGACTTCATAGTGATGTACTTCAAGGTTAAAGATTTTTATTTTCCCACTCGTAGATCCATCTCCTAGAAGCTGCAATTTATTATGGAATCCTGCTCCTTGGCCCTTACTCCTTGGCGTAGATTGCTCTTGCCACCTGCAATCGCAGCCATTTCGAAGGTAACTTTGCATGGTCAGTAAATTTGGTCGAAATCAAATAACGATAAAAAATCACACGAATATTAATTCGCGGAACCGCAAAGACCTTCAGCCAGAAGGCGGTCGAAAGGCAAAGGCAGAGCTGTTTATGAAATTTATAGTTGCGGTCTAGGAGAAAAGACGGCAATCGTCGAGTCCCAGTTTTAGTTCAGGTCGGGTCCGAGGTTCTCCTTGCCATTCCTCAGCTGGTCGTGTGAGAATGTTTGGGGCACATGTGCCCCAGTCCCCATCCTCATCCTCATCCTCGTCCTGATCTCGGAATGAACCCTAGGTTCAACTGCAAAAAATACATTTAAAAGAATCCAATCCAATCCAGTCCCACTACTGGCCAAGTCCGAAGATCGCCTCTAATGCCATTGCAAAGCTGGAGTCTTTGTTTCTGTCCTCTCCGCTTTATGCGATCCACTTCCATGGAAGTGGGAGCTTAGCCCGACCAGGGAAATATTTATATATAAGTATTTGAGCCAGACTTATCGCCAAACAAGATCAATAAGCACGATATCAATAAGCTCTGGTGTTGTTCCAGGCGCAGTAACAAGACCAGCCTGGCCGAGCAACTGGCTCAGATCCACTCCGATGATTGCGGGGGCAGGTGGGGTTGCACAGGGAATGGCAGCTGGGATGGGGAGGGTTTTCCAGTGGGTATATTAATTTGACTGCTTCTAAAGTCCTTATTGAAGGCTTTCCTGATCAAAATGGATTCACAACAGAAAGCTAGAAAGTGGGACATTATGGCTATTTGTGCTTAACAAGAACCGGACTGTTCTGTTATGGGTTGGAAGAACCTCTAAATGGATGAATTTCGGTAACAGAAAGGAGTGGGAAAGACCTTACTTTTATATCTCGAAAGTTAACTTAAAATTTGTTTCTAGTTTAAAGCTATAAAAGCTGGAAAATGCAGAAACCCTTTCCTGGAACTGGTAATAAATGTGTTTTAAACTCTATTATTAGCTAATGGCAACCTCAGTAAAAGCATAAAATTAACTACAAATAGGGAAGATAACCCAAAGAGTGTTTTCATCAAAGAGAAAACAAATTCACAAAATGTGGATCGAGATAAATGGCCCTTCTAATTTGTCAAAATCTGCCTCGCTTGCCATTATCATTAGACAGACTCTGTTTGTGTTTGTGTTATAAAGTCTGCAAATTTCCGCGGAACAGGGGAAAGCGGGAAATTGTGCCACGAAATAAGCCCAAGCCCAGCGTCGACGGCTGCCCGACGAGGGGATGGGACTGGATTGGTTCGGTTTCCAAGCCGCATCCAGTATCCAGTACCCCGTATCTGGTTGTGTTTATTTGTGCTGCTTGCTTAGCCTTGTGGCATTTGCATATTTCGAATGTTCGCGGGCGACTCGTGGCACGTTTTGCAGGAAACCGCGGGGAGACGGAAAAACGAGGCGAAAAACTTTATCGATGATTGTGTGGGCGAGTCATGCGGCCCAGCCGCTTGACGACCTTTTCATAGTTCTGCATGTCTTTTGTTGTTCGCTCCGCGGCTGTTGTTGTCAAACAATTGTCACAACGTGTCGGCATTCACACGAACTCTATGTTTTATCCAACACCTCGGCTCGAATCTCCCAAGGGTTAAAGTTTGCGTATGGCTCACAGCTTGCCTGGGCCTGGGATTCACCTTAAGAACTGGGGGAGTGGGTGAAGTAGGTGAAGTGGGTACTTGATCAGTGATCCATTGCCCTACCGCATTGCACTCGTCCATCAATGAGCGCTGTCTGCGGCGGTGTTCCATCAAAAGTCGCCAGCGATTGCACAAAAACCAACACTCCGGCTGAAGGGTCCTTCAATTCGTGGCTAATAATGAGCGGAACCTCAGCGGTTCCATTGTTCTGGCCCCGCTCCACGGCCTCCCAAATATGTATTCATTATATTTATGGCACAATTTTGCTTTCAAAGCGAGGGGAACAAAAAGAAACACTTGTGCCCAGGGCCCCGACTGACAGGCGGAATATCTTTTTTCTCGCGATCGCGGTTCGGCGGGGATCGGAGGATCCGTCGACCCCGCAAACAATCGGACGATCGATGGATTGGTTCCTTCGCCGAATAGATCACTCAAGCGTAATGAATTATTGATGGACGTTCCGTCGAGAGGGTAGGAAAATCACACACAAAAACGGAGATCTGCCGATCTGCAGAGCCGAGAGATGAAATGTAACCAGAGCTTTGACTTAATGTGGCAGCTCAACCAGATCGATGTGTCCATACAGCCGAATCGATCGGAGCTGCTCAAGTTAGTGACTTTGTCAAGTCCTCCTCCTGCTCGGCTGATCATTTGTGATATATTGTTTCGGTAGCAGTTTGTTAAACGTGATCAATTTTTAATTACCCATCATCATCATCATCGTCATCGTCGTCATCCTCCATCCGCAGGCATCCATCGATCGCTGCTCGCTGATCACTGATCGCTCGATTGCCGTATCAATCGCACCGCACAGAATGTAACTCGGACGTTTGTCGCATGTCACTCAACGATTTATGCCCCGAGCGACTTTAATAAATGTGTCTTTGCCGCTTTTGGCCCCAGTGCCTTGGGATCCCAGTGCCCCGGCTCCCTTCTTCGCTGATTGAGGCGACTCTGTCCCTGGCGATGTGGCGCCGTCTTCGAGTCCGCAGCCCCTTTCCCCCTTTTCCACTCCTTCTGTCCCCCTTTCAGAGCGTGTGTGCGCAAAATGTTTAATTAGTTTTTGTCTAATTAACACTTGTGACATGGCCAAAGCGACTGGAGTCGTGTGCCACCGAAGGCGTGAAGATCAAAAGGTAAACAAGCTCCTTGAAGCGCAGGACTATGCAGGGAAAGCCGAGATCGGCATAGATCTTCGAGGTCTTAAGACAGGGTAACAGTAAACACTCGTCTATAGTATCTTTTAGACAATTTTTTTATGATTTAAAAGAAAGGTATAAAAGGAAGAACTGAATCCAACTCAACTTTTTAAGCTACGCTTTTCCAAAGTTCTTTGCTAACTAAAAGTTCCCAAAAGTTTCGCATAAAATGTTGAACTTCTCTGCTGATAATAAGCAGCAGATTGATCAAAAATATATATAAAGATATACACATAAGCATATATACTAACTTTAAGTTATTATTCTTTTATAAGGACAGTGATGTTGCGGTAAACTTTCCCTTTTTCTGCAAAATCCTTGGTTTTTTCCATGAATTCCAAATTCCCTTCCCTATTTTAATTAAACCTTTTCGACTAAGTTCCATTTTGGCAAGAGCCGGCTCAAAGCTTGGCCATGGCCGGTGGACCAACAACATAATTTCTGTGTCGGCCACGCCCATTTTGCCACCAGAATTCCACAGCGTCCAGCTTGCAGACTTCGAAGGTTCCGAGGTGGCGAGCCCTTAGGCAGCGCACAAATTAAGGTGAACGCCCATAGCACGCGCCGGCAGAAAAGTAGGGACAGGGATCCAAGGGCCCAGAAAGGAGAGCAGAGAACGAGGAGCAGGAACCTAAGCAGCCAGGCTGGCTGCCAAAACTGCGGTGGAAATATTTGCCACTTGAGTCTCGGAGGCTGCCCCTCCTGCTCCTCCCGCTCCGGTAACCACTTGAAGTTCTTGGCTGGCGAGTTTATTTATTTTGGAACGGGGCGCAGAGCAACAAATTAAAAAGTAATTCTCGGGCGCAGCATAATTAGCTGCTAAGTGACACTAATGGGGCCGCAGTTGCACTGCCCCAAAAATCCGCCCCATTCCCTGGCCTTTCCCTGCTCATCTCTCGGCCCGAAACTTGATGCACTTTTTCCACTTTTCGGCGGGTCGTTGTGTGTGGGCAATGTGAAGTTCTCGAGATGGTGAGTGAGTTTTCGTTGGTTTAGCTAATTGAGTTTTGTTTTTCGGGCCGGCGGTCCACATGGCCACTTGGCTCCCTTGTGGCTGCCAAGTTGAGTTGGCCCAGTAATTGATGGGCCTGCTGAAAGCAAAGGTCTTGGCAGTGGGGAAATCTGGGAGATGCAGATAATCGGGGTTGCCGAGCGATAGATGTCAGTTTAGTCAGTTCGTTTCCCCGTTTTCCCCAGTGGCTACACCAAAGATCAGCACAAGATTCGATTAGAAATGGTAAGTTAAAAGATCTTCTATTTCTGATTCCCAATCTTAAGGCCCAACTGAAGTCCCGTCAGGCCAAGCATGAGATGCCGTCTAAGGATCAAGGTGAACCTGGCTCAGGTGGGGATCGCAGCAAGAAAGTAGGAGGTTCTAGATCTAAGCAGTCCTCCGATCAGTACCTCCAGAGGAAGAGCTACAGTCGCTCCGACCAGGATTCTTCAGGTCACAAATATTCCAGCAGGATTAAGGGAAATTTCTCTCAGAGGACCAGAGAACACAGCAACCACTCAAAGGAACACAAGTACTCAGACGAAGAGATCGACGAGGAGCCCAAGGACACAGAATGCATTTCAAGTGAGTCCCAATCTCGGTCCCATCCAAGCCAACTGTCCACCGACCGCTCCAAGAGCTTCAGCCAGATATACAGCGAAATCTTCGAGGAGTCTAAGGAACGACAACAGAAGGCAGAGCGGGCCTGTCGGACCTACTGCATCAACGCATCTAAGCTGCACAGGAGCTTTGAGGCATCCGGTTCCAGGGGACCAGGAAGTGGGAACTACGAGAGCAGTCTGGAATCGGAGTGTTCCAGTAACTGGGAAAGGGAATACCGGGAGTACGAAAGTTCATCGATAGAAGAACCTGACTTCGATGGGCAGAGAAGACACCAAAAAGATTTTAAGTCAAAACCAATCAAAGGGCCTTCCAATAAAACGGAGCCCCGAGAAAGGTTCTGCTGTGAGTTAAATCAAGGTTCGAGGAATTCGTATTCCTATCCTTCCGATAATAGGTATTCCGAAGATACATCCAAAGCCAAACAAAAAGCCAGATCCTGCGTATGTGCTCTGGAGTCTTCGGTTTGCAGTCTCTGCTCTGCGTGTTCCAGATCGAGAAAATACCACTCTGAGGGCTACAGAACGGAGGTGACTGATGGATCCGATTACCCTGGCGACTGCAGGAGTGTCATTCCTACTACTGCGACATCGCAATCTCGCTCACAAAGAGATTATCTTTCGAGCTGCAGCACACGCCATCGTCATCATCATTATTGTCGCCAGAGAAGTGAGCCCAAGACGTATCAAGATCGTGGAAATAGTCCCATTAACATCAAAACCAGGCGGAAGACACACGACTACCAGGGAATTCCCTCTGAAACTGGCAGCGCGAAGGTGAGGGTGAGGGATTCCCTCAGCAGTTCAAGAGCCTCCATCGGCGTGCAATATCCCAGTGAAGATGAGACCGAGGACTGGGCTGACGAAGGGTCTGGTGGTTGTCGGTACAGCACCCATGGTGCTAATGAATGTGAAAGTTTGAAAGACAGTTGGTCCAGTGATAAGGAAGAGAATGCATCGGGTGTCAATGTAGTTCACAGTGACTATGACGAAAGCCTAATGTTGCCGGGAGATTCCAATCTTCAGGATATCGACATAAACGATGACTACAGAAAACCGACAAATGAAGATGGTCGAAGTGTCAACACTGAAGCGGCATGCCACATCTGTAACGATCTTGATCAGTTTGTGTCCGATGACGAACTAAGCAGTCCCGATGGGATCAAGGAATATGACAATGCTGATGAACAAGATGACGGCTATAGCCACGAGCCTGAAATGTACGATGAAAACGAAAAGCTTTCTGATGAAAATGAGAAAGGCAGCTCTGAAGAAGGAAATCAACTTAGCAAAGACCAAGGCCATGTAAGATTCAAATTGTAAAACTTTTCCTCTTAATCCTCTTATTTCTTAGCTGGTCTGTGTTGATGGTGAACAACCTTTAAGCCACCAAGATGGAGCAAATGCGTCTTCAAAAAAGGTAGACAAATCCAAAAGCTTTCTCAGCCTTAAAATATACAATGCTGATGAGGCCCTGATGGAGATCCCTGAGAATTTTAAGGGTCCTGCGATCATTCTGGATGATGATGCCGACTTCTTGGACATCACATTGACCGATGACGAGGAGAAGATCCATGCTAAGCTGATGGCAGCAGCACTAACCACCAGGAAGAGCACCAGCTCCATCAGCGCCAACAGCAGTCTGAGGTCCCGTCGGTCCCTTTCTCCCTGCATGCTTAACTACAAGCCCAGCGTGATCTTCACCCGCCGATCGGAGGTGGTCAAAGATGAGAGTGTTCCCAGGCGGACCGATCGCGTGGCCCTTCTGGCCGAGGAATTCCTGCGGAGACTTAGTGAAAATTCAGCTCGGAATTCCGAATGGCAGCCCTTAGTAAAGGAGGACTGCGCTACGGATTCAAATGAGCAAAATTTGGAGGAAGAAGGTGACTCTCCAGAAGAGTACATTCACACCCCGCCCTGCGATGACCGCCAGTTGCTTTCCAAGGAGTTCAACAGGAAGTTGCAGCGCCAGCTCAAAGTGATTGTTGAGACTTTTCAATGAATTTTACTGGAAATGTATATTTTGTATCTGCAATCGCATGACATCGAATATAAATCGAAATTTGTTCACAGCAGACGATTCGGTGTAATGGAACTGATGTAGTAAGATGGGTAATATCCTTTATAATGTTTAGATTAAGAGATGTGTTTCAGGGATTTCAAGGATCTAAATATATAAAAGAAATGTCTATCCACTAGCCATAAGGTAAGGAATATAATCCAGATACGTACCAAAGGGTTATAGCTTACTTAGATTTAATTTGTGTTATAGTTTAGAATTGAGCTTACCGATTTCTTTTGGCACTTAAAAACATTTTAGGTTTCTTTTACTCAAATCAACTCTCTAATTTCTTAGAATATCCTTCATGTGCATAGAAGAAACCGCATAATCCCACTGCAACTTTCAAATAGGCCAACTTCAAATGAGTATTTTTCTATTTAACTTAATAAAGTGTTTACGCTCATAGCGGCCTATAAAAAACCACATAGTAATCCATAAATAATAGTCAGAGAGTTCTCGGTATATAATTCATCCCATGCAACACTTTTCCCAGGTTGGAATAGCTTTGAATGGAGTCTGAGACTGGGCCTGGCTGTGGAAACTACTTGAAACTTTCAGCGCAATGGCAGGCCGCCTGGCAGTCTGCTAGTTCGGTTTTCCTCGGATGTGCTCTGGGCCCAATGCCGAGGTGCATAAATCAACTTTAGTGCTGGCCAAGTGTCTTGCTGAAGGGCGCAGCCATCGAGTGGTATTTAGGAGTGGAGCAGTTGCCCCTCCCCCCACCGTTTGGAGCATAATTAGCCCTTGGCTACTGTTAGTCTAGGCGTGCACTTGCCCCCTCACCCGTCCCCCGAAGCGGCCATTCATTTCCCTGACACATACTAAATATGCTGGAGTTGTTTACATGATCGATCAGGGATCGGGTCCCTGGCCTATGCTCCAGGGGCTGCATGCTCGGATGCACCTAATTGCTAACCAAACACCACTGCAGCCGCGCAAATATTGTTTTAAGGCACATCAACGTATTTCACCTGCCTAATGCCTGATCCACCTACAAGTGGATCGGATCGATTGGGTGGGTATATTTTGGGGAGATGCCTCTGTGTTCGTTCCCTACTTTTTCTTATAATGAAGTGCGGCTGGATATGTTTATAATTTACGAGACTGTGCAGTGCTTGTTTGTGGTTGATCGTAGGGTTGGTTGGGTCTGTGACGTAGGAAGCACGTCTCTTGGTATACATTTTGATATCTTACAAGAAATATCCCAAAGAATTGCTAAGGTAGAAGCTAAACCATATAAATAAATGAAGTAGTTTCAAGTTGCTAATATAACCAAACTTTATTTTCTCACTCTTAAATCATCTTTCGTGGAGTTTTTGCTCATAAATAAAGTTCAGTTCCTTGTAAAGTTTAACGATTCTCTATCAAATGGTTATTAACCACAATTCTAATCAAGCAGAAGTGATTCCCGACTCTAATCCAATCCAAGCAAGTGGAAATCCCTTCCAATTCCAATTTCCCACTAGCACTGCCCACAAGGACGGTTGGGCCCACGTGACTTTTCGTGGTCATCAGGTGAGCGCGCACGGCATAATTTAGACAATTTAGACAATTTATTGTGAAAAATGCACTCAATTTATATGACTTGATTATATTTGCCTTCCTTTTGCCAGTCGCTGTCGAATGGCTGTGTTTGCTTAAGTCGCCGCATGCCGCATAGAGCCATGACATTGGCTGGGCAACGGACATGGCCTAAACAAGCCTGCGACAACAACACCCAGCGGATTGGATGACGATGATGGAGAGATGAGAAGGTGGCGAGGGGATGGACGGCTCGAGGCGCACCCCACGCCAATTTATTAAAGCCAACACCAGGGAAATGTGGCCGAGTGGCACAGGTTCTCCTGGGCCGGCTGGTTACCGGCTGGTTCACGGGGTCCCAGCCTATTCGATATGAGAAATTGCACGAAACTGCAAAGGCGCATATGCAAAATGCATAATTCATTTAACATTTTGTAAATCATTTGTTTGAATAGCACGATGACGGTGATGCGCGGCTAGCTCCCATCGTCCTGCCCCTTTCCCTGCCCCTGCCCCAGCCCAGTTCCAGCTCCAACAACCTGCCATGGCCAAGCTCCTCCTGGCCAGCAGTTGGGCTATTCGTCTGCTCTGACAAATCGAGAGTTGAGTCCAGCGGAGTGGACTCTGGCGGGGAACCTGGCTCCAGTCCCCATCCTCTGTTTCGGTCCAATCCTGCTGCAGCAACACAATGGCCATGACGGTGCGCAAATATAATTTCACAACTGTCTGCACATGCTCCGAACGAAACGAGGCTCACCGCAAAGGTGAAGCTGCACTGGAAGAAACTACTGGGATTATTATTTCAAAATTAACTACAATATTTCATCCCTTTGGGATTTCATGATTAGATTGCCTGCTTAGATGATTGTTATTTCTGCTTTCCTCATAAACATATAATCCCTAATAGGCATTGGCCCTAAGAAAAAACATTTCTCTCAGTGCATCTGCGAGACGAAAGCAACAGTGTCCAAAGCATAAAAAGAGCTCAGCCATAAGTCACAACGCCGCAACGACTTTTCAGCTCGGGATAAGCCTTTTTATTATTATTTGTATTTGCCTCATCTTTCTGCCTTTGATTCCTGTGAAATTTGCATGCGTTGGGATTCCGATACCAATTCCATACCGAACCCTATCCCGACCCAATCCAAAGCTCGATCCCGATCCCGATCCTCCGACGAGCTAATTTCGTTTTGTGTGCGAATATTGAAAAATTACAAAACTTTTAATGCGAGTGGGGGAAGGGATTTGGATTTGGATTTGGTTGGCAGGGCCTCCAGATGGTCCCTGCCATTGAGATTTCTTGGGAACCCAGTTTCTGGCCGGTACTGTCTGTAATTTTAATGATCCTCCACTGACTTCGTAACTCAATAAGCCCGGCCAGTCGCGATCGCTCCAGACAGACAGTCTGGGATCTGGGATCTGAGATCCGCTTGGCTTTCCCAGCCAACTAATTTATCATCTTTGGTTGCACTTCGAAAAGTAATTAAGGTTTCTCCCATCTCGCGTGTGGTCGCTGGTCGGCGGCTGGGGAATGCGGCATTGCTAGAAGAAACCATTGTAACGCAAGTGTGGCGTTAAATTTTTGATCAAAAAACTATTAGCCAAGTGTAAAAATTATCGTTAATGTGCTGTGAGGTGGTGCCAGCGCGTCTGCGCCGAGTTCAAGCTGTTTCAATATTTTCATTTATCGATTGTTGTTCCACAAATGTAATGTGGTTTCGGGCCTGTATTACACTACACTACAAAAACCAAGTTAATTGAGGTGCCATTTTGGAAAGAGTTACTAACTACCTACTGCTACTGTACGCCTTTAAGAGAGTTAACCAATAATAACGAAGTACTTTTTAGATTGAAAATGTAATTACTTAAAGGCAACATATGCTGTTAGTCAGGCAGTTAAACGGACTTTTTGTTAGCTAGTGTTTTGAAGGCTTTTGTGCTCCTCTGCCGCGATGATCAAAGTGATTAAATGAATAGAATTTTTGATTCAACAGAGGGAATTCCCCAAAAGACTGAGAAGACAAAGAAAACAGATTTTTGCTAGCTTACTAAGAACTTCCTTTCCCGTAGTATCTCATTTTTAGTTACTTAGAAAATCCACAATTAAAATAAATAAATGAAATAATAAAATCAAAAGCAATATTAAATACCTGACAGCTATTGATTTTTGCAGCTGAAACTAAAGATAAGACATGTTGATATACACACAAATAATGAACGAATTCCTGCCCAATTTATTTCGATTCTTTAAATTGACTTTTGAAAGGACCGAAAGGAGCTTTACAAAAAACACTTTGACAGGCCTAAAAAATAGAGGGAACAAAACTATTTTAATTGTTTCCGGTTCGGCCGACTTTTACTCTCATTACCGACCGCAACAGTTCGCCAGACAACTATGAAAATAATTCAATTAAAAAATGACAACCGCAAAAATTAGTTGGCCACAAAAGCGCAAAGCGGGCCGAAAAAAGGCTTAATAGAGTGCCTCGAGTGAAAACAAACAGAAAGAGTGGATAAATCAGCTTAGGAACCAATGCTGGTATAAATTAATTTATGTAATTTGAGTGCCAGGCCATGTTTACCGTTTGTGGAAACCCGAAAATTAGACTGCGCATTGGGAATTGTGAGCGGCATGTGTACGTTCGTTGGCTCAATTTAAACGTCCGGGGGCCCTGTCACTCGTTGGGGGCTTACCTGCCCATTTCCCAGTTGGATGCAGTGCCCCGCCCCCTCTGCTCCATGGCCTTTCCACCGCCCGTCCATGAGTCGCGGTCGACGGCAGTTTCCGTCGTCAATTTACAAACGCGTTCAGCTTAAATTGCAACAAATAGTCGCTTATTGGAACTTAAATTGTACCGACACAGAAAGTGAGCGAGCGAGGGAGGGGGCCTATCGGGAGTATTGGGCCAGAAAGAGACTGGACGACAGAGCCAAGTTTTTGGGCCGTGTGTCAACAAGTTTGCGTCTCCCTCTCGCTTTTGGCCATTTTCTGGGCTCTTGCCTGTTGGTTTGTGTCAGTTGTCGACGTTGTTTGGCTGTTGTGTGGTCGTGGCTTGATTTGCTTAAAGGTTTCTGGTTCTGGGCTCCGGCCATGGGAGCGGAGTCTGCCAATGTTTTGATGTGTTTCCCGGATAAGGTTTGCCACCAGGAGGGGGATAGCTAGCTAGAGCAGCAGTGCGTTTCACGTATTTCTTTGGGTATTCGAAGGAAGCACAATAAGGGCTCTGTTTTAGTTGCTTAGAAAGCTATTCTACACGATTTACGTCTACAAGTTAAGGTAGTATTTGTCATATCAAATTATGATCTTAAAACGAAAGGAGATAGTTTCCATGCATTTCTAAATCAGAAACTGATTTGTTAATATGATGTAACTCAAGAATGATGTAGCACAAGAATGATGTAGCACAAGAATCACAGATAGCTCATGCATTAGTTTCATTAGATTGAACTCCGCAAGGTGGATATCAATCGGCCAATAACAGCACTTCAATTGTAAATCAAACAAAATCAGAACAAAGCATCTATCGAATAAAAGCATTTATACTTCCCTCGCTCATTTCCTACTTTAGACATTGTCTTTATCTAAAAGCACTCAAAATTCGAGTTCCCACCAATTTGCCTCCTGTCTTCAATTGCAACTCCTGACACCGCCACCAATTAACTTTGGCTGCCATTTCTCCAGGTATTCTTCCCAATCAAAAGCTTATATGGGGCCCGCATATTCTGGCAGTAAAGCAACCGAAATCAAAGCAGGCCAAACTCGTTTTACGGCCAACTTGGGCCGGTGGAAGCCAGGTAAAAAGTTTAATTGCACGCCACAACAGTTTTCTGGCTGATTTCATCCTTTAATTTCAATTCTACGGAGGCAAGGCGGTGGAGGAGGGAGGGGCTTTCGATGACAGGGAGAGGTCGGCGGTAGAAAGCCGCAACAGCCAGAGCAAATTTCGTCGACAGCCGGCCGCTGCAATATAATTTCTTTCGATTAATCCAATCGATTTCTATTCAATAAATCAAAATATGAATTCGTCGCGGCTCCGACCCCTCGACTAGCCTAGACGCGTCTGCGGACGAGTGTGTGTTCGTTTGAGGCACGTAACAAATTGTTGGGTTAATTAAAAAAACATAAATCGTTTTATTCTTTATCCACACTCCCCGATATGCCTGATACCCCCGTCACCCCTCAGCCATTTAATAGCCGTGGCAGGTCTCTGACGGCCCTTTCATCAACTGAAATCAGCCGAATCAGCCGAATCAGCCGAAATTCCCCGCCGAAAGAAATTCGTGAAATAAATCACACTCTTTTCGCCAGAAAACAATTTCACCTTAGACACTTTTTCCCACTGCCCCAGTGGCTAATAATTTATTTTGGCAGCCCTCTGTTGTGATAACGCTGATGAACATCGCTTAGCCCGGCAAATTGTTGGCCATTAGGCGTTTTGATGGCTTTTAGCCCCTGGAAACCTGATCTACCCATCACAGCCAGCCTCCGCCGAACCAATCAAAACAAATTAACGAAGCTTACCAATAAATATTCATGACAAAATTCCGTCAATTAAAATGGCCATCCGGATCAGCAGGGCCGTAAAAAATGCGTTTAATTAACAGATCAGAAATCCGCGGATTCCATTTTCCATTTGCATGTCAATTAAGACGGAACGACCGGAATGAAACGCCTCTCAACAGCGTGTGGGAAGCATATCGACGGTGATGGAAACCAGTCCAAGGTTCGGAAATTCAAACCAAACCAGGAAATCCAATTTATCTAAATAAAGTTTCGATGCAACGCAGCTTATGTAATCAGATCAGTTCAGTTAATTGGGTTTTAGAGCATGTTTTGGGGGTAAACTAAAAGAAACTTACTGGCTTTGGAAAAGTTTTCAAGGTAACATCCTGATGTAGTTGCCAGACGAATATCAAGAAATTCTCTTTCAATTTCCAGAAAAATAATGTTTTAAAATATCTGAAGTTTGTGGTGTTAGATTGGCTACAAACTAGTAAGTTTGGTTACCAATAAAGTGAAATATTACCAATGAGTTTTGAGAATTAGGAGAAACTCCCTCTCAGTTACATTCTGTAAGGATCAGAAATCAGATTACATCACAGTAGAGCCCGCCTATGAAAACCTTTTCCCGAAATAAAATCAACATTATGGTCTATAGTTTTTTGATCTGTTTATTTTTCTTGTTGGTTTTTTGTGGGTTTTCTTGTTGTTGGTTTTTGTGATAACTTTTTAATTTATTCTGCGTACTTAAGCTTGAAGAAATCTAAGGCCGAAAATGTATATACGTATATGCGACGGAGCTTCCAATCCCTTCGATGTTGAACTCTTTTTACAGTGTATTAGTTTGCAAATTTTGTACTAGAAAGCTTAAGGTTGGAGGATGGGAAAATGGGACAAAGGACGAGGGACGAGGGACGATGAGGGTGAAAGCAGCTTCGACAAAAAATTAGCTAAGTCTTACGGCTAGGTAGTCAATATGCTTAAGTAATTTAGTTTAAAGTTAAGGTTACGAGTGCGGTTTTTACATGTATGCGTTAATTAACTCATATTTTATACATTTACATTAAGATTAGGATTTCGTTATGTTTAGTGGGCTTTGTTTTGCAACTAGAAAACTACGTTTAAGTTTACATAACAGTTGAATAGCAAAATTAGGCAATAGATCTTTTTTGTATATTCATATTTAAAATACATAATAGTCATGTTCAAAGACGACAAAGAATCAAATGAGATTTCCCGACCTTCGACTTCCGATTCAACAGCAATTTTTCAATTATCAGGTAAAAAGTTCAAAGTGTTTTCTTCAACTTTCAGAAATATTTGGTTTTCACATTGCGCCACTAGGGCCAGGTTCTGCAGCCGCTGGCAGCAGATCCAGTCCAGCGAGGAGGCCGACTCCTCCAGGGGTCCTTGGGCTGGTCCAGTTCCCCCAGCCATGGTCGTGGCCGTGGCCACCGGCTGGGCGGGCGGCGGTGGCGGCTCCTCGGGCCACCAGTTCTCCCACTCTCAATACGCCGTCGCTGCTCCAGGATGCATCAGGTGGTGGTGATGGTGGTGGTGCCCGAAGTGGTTCAGCGGGTTCATCGCGTCCGCTGTGCCACTTGGCGCCGCCGTGTGGTACCAGTCGCTGGGCGGGTGGTGCTGGGCTGCCGGGTGGTACAGTAGGTGGTGGTTGTGGTGCAACATCGAGGCAGAGGCGGCCGCTGCCCCGGGAGAAGCCGCTGCCTGGTGGTGATGGGGGTGGTGGTGGTGCGACGGTGGCGGTCCCAGGGGCGGGGGCAGGTAGGCTGAAGCGGAGGCGGCCATCAGTTGAAGGGCGGGCGAGGATTTCGAGTCGCTCGGATGGGCAGTTAGTTGCTGCTGCTGTTGCTGCTGCTGCTGCTGGTGCTGCTGCTGTTGTTGTTGCTGCTGCTGCTGTTGCTGCTGCAGCAAGTGGGAGGCACTGCTGCTGGCCGTGCTGCTGCTGCCACTGCTCGAGGCTCCCAGGTGGACGCTGTGCATCGGATTGGGCTCCGATTTGATGGAGTGCGGAGAGGACTTGATGCCGCTGCCGCCGCTCAAGCTGCTCACCCCGCTGCTGCTGCCTGCACTTCCGTCCAGGCGGGTCGAAGGCGGCGTCTGGGCTCCGCCGGTGATGATGCTCGAGCTGGAGCTCTCCTCGCCCTCGCTGTCGTAGCCGTGAGATGGGCTCTTCTCGTCAACGTTGCCATGTACCTGGAGGAGAAATTTGAAAACAAAAGCCAGTTAGTTGCGGTTCGAAGGTAATCGAAAGTTATGAAATTTCTACTAAGTTTTGCTATCATCAATGCATCAGGCGCAGACTATTTAAGACAACCCTCAGACTAAGCTAGTTTTAATTTAAAATACTATGATTTAATCCAAGCTATGAAGGTGTTACAAGCACTTACAATTTCATGTAAGACTTAGAACCTTTTCTTGTAATAAACATTTAGGAAACTGCTGAATTGAGTTTAATTTAACTTAAAGTTTAATCAAAGTAACTTTTGTCTGTTCAAAATGACTTCCTTCCAGGATTCTTCAGCTTAAACTAACTTTAACTAATCTTTAATCAACTTACCTTCATGTGCTTGCGCAGCGACGAGGGATGGGTGTAGGACTTATCACAGCCGTTGATGCGACAGTTGTAGGGCTTGTCCGAGGTGTGGACGTGGGAGTGCTTCTTCCGATCCGAGGAGTTGGCGAAGCGCCGATCGCAGCCTTCGTGCTCGCACTTGAAGGGCTTCTCGCCTGAAAGTAGGCAAGAAAGGGTATCTTTTAGTGGGTTTTCTATCGATGGGGAGCGTATTTCTTAGACTATATAGCGTTGTGGCAATAAACGGCGATATTTATGTGACACGCATTAAATAAATAACAGCTCCAGCTAAGAGACGATGGCCATTTATGGGCTCACAACTTTTATGAACTGTCCTGCACACACACACTCACACAGACTCACACACACTCACACACAGAGACAGTTTAATAAAGGTGGGAAAACCCGAGTGTCCAACATATTTATAGGGAAAACAATAACAAAACAACCGTGTATACGGCTGGGGAAAGAAATCATATAAATTATGCGGGATCAAGAGGCCCATTGTTCGAGGGATCCCGACCTGCGACCCGTACACGATTTTCACCTGTGCCGATGCCGATTGTCCTTTTTGTTATTTGTCCCTCTGCCCCCTGTCCGTCCTCCTTCGCTTCCTTGGCTGCACAAGAACAAAAGCGGCAAGGGTAAAGGCAAAGGCAAAGGTAAAGGTCACAGGGTTAACGTTTATTATTTGATTCGTGTGCGTAACACCTTTTCCAATCAAAAGATGAGGGGAAAACATTCCCCCGCTTAGCCCGAAGTGATATTTTATAGCTTATTAGAAAATTATTTTTTGATGACGGTGGAGGAGTCGGGCAGCTTGACAGCGGAGCCATGAGATAAAATCAGGACTAAACATAAATAATATCGACTTGACCTTTAACCTATAATTTGGCAAAGATTTCAGGGAAATCTACGATGAAAGGGAAAAACGTGAACTCGATAATTGTTTGTTTTCCCGTCCTATCAATTTCAATCACTCGCCGTTTAAGCGCCATTAACAAGCTCTGTGAATTATGTATAGAAGTATCCGCGGCTAAGTCCATTTAGCATATGGCATTTATGTCGCAGATAAGCGGCCATTACATGCACCACAAGTTTTATGACAATTGAAGCTAAGCGGCTCAGATCCCTCGCCCCCCCCAGTTTCCCCGAAAGAAGCCCACGCGGTCGCGGCGACGATGACAATAATCGAACATTTTCACACCTCGAGCTTAAAGCGGACAATCGCCTGGGGATCGGACAGGGGAGGGGCAGTGTATAGTTGGTTAAGGAAAGGAAAAGCTGCTCTGCTGGGCAGCAGGTGGGGTGCCGGGGCAGGGCTTTGTTGGCCCGCCTCTGAAAAGACATCCAGCGGCGACTTCGCAGCCAGCTCAACAAGTTTCAGCTCTTTTTCGCCTTCGCATTTCGTTGTATGTAATTTAATACTAATTTATGTGCTTTATTATCCGCATTTGAATAAGTTTTCATTTTGAGATGCGTAATAAGTCAGAGGAGGGCCCATATGTATGTATATCCATGTGGATATAAACAGAAATCGGACAAATGCTGTTCGATTTGAATGGCGTGTCGCATTGTGATTGTTATTGTGGTTTCTATTAATTTGTCAAAATTTAAAACCCATAAATAAGCATTACAAAAGTGCCATCGGTCTGCGGCTGGAACTCAATTATTTTGACAGGTCCCAAGGGACCCAAAGCGGAACAGGCGGAGCGAATGCAGTTCGACGTGCCTCGAATTCCCAACCAGTGCGCGCATTTTCGATGGCCTTCGAGTGGAATGCGGCGCCACTAGAACTGTATTTATAGGGTTAAGCTCAAGTTAACTTAACAATTCGAGTGAACTCTCTTTAAAATGTAATAATTGGTAATACAAAGAGAAATAATTTTGAAAATAATATTGCTTATCAGCCTAAAGCCATAAACTGTGAAGATAAATTCGTTACACTTCTCCCCTGCCGTATCATCAGTCCACGGTTATCAGGTGGCAGTGGGAAATGCTATCTTTAAACACTAATTAGTCATAAACAGGACAGGCAGCTGACTGGGATCCGCCAACCCGCTGGGCTCCTATCCGTGCTATCAGTCTTATCACCTTATTTTCGGGGAACCCAGCGGCACATCGCTGCCCGACTGACTATGCCCACGGCACACGGAACGTGGAACACACATCGCAGCGCACACATATCCACATATCCATCTCCTGTAGCGCTGCGGTCTAAGCCCAGCGGGGGAGGCGCAGAATGCGGCACGCGCTGCGGCCAAGGACATTAAAGGGTTCGGGTCCCGGCTAAGTGCAGCGGAGGATACGCATAATTTTCACATTCCCCTGCGAGCTGGCGTTGGGCATTAAAACTGGAATTTAAATATGTTTTATTGCTTTAAGTTTAAGGGGTCCGATGTGGCGAGGTCCAGGTTCAGGGGAAAATAACCGAAATATCCCGTTCGCCCATTTATAAAATGTCAATTTCAGACGACGTTTTCCGACTTCCCCTTCCGACGCAGCGACATGAAAGACATCCTTGGCGCACCCTTTTCGCCCTGGCAAGGCGCCATAAGTAGAGTGGAGCAGCCCCAGCCCTGCCCATCCGCCGGCAAATCCCATTTAGGCTGTGCGAATCGACAAACTTATTTAAATATTTCAATAAAGTAAATCCAATGGCAAAGTCCCCGGGCACATAATGCGGCCGTAGCTGGGAAATAGGCCTGTTTCGGCTGCCTTGTGATTTGCATATCTAGCGGGACTGCCTGCTCCCTGCTCCTTCCCCCGTCAAAAGGAAAGCCCCAAAATGGTTAATTTCCTACAAAAAATCGTTCCTCGCGGCTGGAACGATTGGAATCCGAACGGACTGCCTGTCATGGCGGTTTGTGTACAGCTGCCGAGTTGTTTGTTTTTTTGGGGTGGTTCTTATATTTTGGGGTTGCTTTGTAATCTCCTCTCTGCGAATCTCTCTCTCTGTGTGTATGTGTGTGTGTGTGCGTGGGTTAAGCCAAGAAAGTTGTACATGGCCATATATATGTTTATATTAAAATATATGTACGGCATTGTTTGTTGGTATATATGGCACATGTTTTGGCTTTTATGTAACTGCTGCAAAGCTTGCTGTCATTTGCAGACGAGTGCCGAGCCGACGGCCTTTCCTCCCCCCATTTCCCGCCCGCCTTCCACCCCACACCCTGCGTTTTCCCGTCTGAAATTGTTTTTGTTGTGGCTATTACGGGGCGTTGTTTCTTTTCGTCGGCGGAATGGGGCTTTCTGATGTTTCTGGGCGTAGTCGGGCCCAAAACGAAAAAACCGAAATGAGTTTTGCCAAAGTGTGTTCTTTTAGGCCCGAAGATTCGCTTGTACGTTATTAAAATACGTTTGGATGTTAGAGACAACAATATGCTTTTCGCTACGGGTGAGGGAAATGGATGGATTTAGGGCAGAGTTTGTAGGTTTAGTTTCTGTTTCCTTAAATATTAAATATTATAGTCATCGTATTGGCAGATTAATTAGTTTACATTGGCCTTTGTTGTCTTAACTGACTTATAATTTATTTACATAATTTATTTGCAACAGGATATACATCCCTGGCTCTGGACGTGATCGGTGCTAACCGAGCGATGCAAATTAAGCATCATTGACAGTCGCTGATTAATTGGAGTGAATCAGGTTTTTAATTTCCAGCAACAAACAGCAGATGAATTAAAAATAAAACACCTTTTCAGCCGTCGCAGCGACAGTTGCTTATTAAAGGCATTTCGGAATGGAATTAATTAAAAACGAAGAACACAGAGAGAGGGGGGTAAACAGAGCGGCTAAGCAGGGGAATGCTGGGTATTCAGTGTTTTAATTGCTGCTAAATAATTGCCCTGGTAAATATTTATTGCCTGCTTAAGGGCCGCTCACCACTCGTCCTGAAAAGGGACAAAAGGAGGGTCTGCCAAGGCGAGAGCTCTCTTTATTCTTTACCCAGCAAATGAGCCAGAAAGGAGAAAGGAGGAAGAGCAAGGAAGGGAGAGGGAGGCGGCTAGGGACGAGGGATGAGCAGCATCATCGCTCATGTGTCAACAGCATGCAATGCGATATGATTATTATTATCTAACAATACAATAACAAAACTGCTACTTTTTGCCTGCCGCTCAAGCAGTCCCCGCCCCACCTCCTCTCCTACCCCTCTGGGTTGTTGACACTCCTCGGATTTGAGAATCCTCAGCTCATTGTGTATCTGAGGATGTATCTGTATCTGTTTGTTTGTTTGCAATACGTTTTTTCCGCTGCTGTCGCTTCTTTTTCCTCCGTTATGCTCCTTTTGTTCCTACGGCTAAAGCCGGAAAAGCCAAACCCCGATTTCCTGGCGGTTTACATTTCAATGGGCAATTTTCCCTCGCTCCCCCTTTCCCTTTGTCCGCACTTTTTGTTCCGCTTAGTTAGGGGGCACTGACTACTGATGACGAGATGGTCTGAGCTGTCCTCGATAAGCAGGTGCCTCGAGAGCGTGGCTCGTGGACTGCAAATCGAAAACATTTCCCGACCAGGTCCTTCCACATTTCCCTTTCATCTAGTCCAGACAGACTTTCCCACACGCCGCTTACTTTGAATATTTATAACAGTTGCCTGCGTTTGATGACCAAATTAATGGCCAGCCATCCCGCTCCATGCCACAATAATAATAATAATAATAAAATCATAATTTAAGTGCAATGAATGCCGCTTGTCAACGGCCGAATGCAAAGTCCTCGGGCTCATCATCGGGGAGAGTATTATCATTATCATCATGGACGTCGTCGTCGTGGCAGAGGATGTGCACCCCTCGGGCGGAGAAGTTACCTATGGCTGTGGCACACAGTCGACCGACTGGTCCATTGTTTGTTTGTTTGACAAAAACCATCGTTGAGTGAATTCGTTGGTGATTTATGATTGCTGCATCCCTCCCTAGCTATGGCTATGGCTTGGCGATGATTATGATGACCCCATCCCCGTTTTCCTTGGCTAAGCAGCATCGTCCTCACATAATTTTCGCTATTTGTTTGCAGCTTTGCCGTTCGCTGTCAAGTGATACGTTAATAATTGACACTGGGGTCAGTGGCCAGATTCCCAGCCCCTGTTTCCCCGGTTTCCCTGCGGTTATTGTAGTCACTTCCCCAGATACTTTTGGGAAAATCTTTCAAAA